ATTTAAAAAACCTTTAGATTTAGACATTATAAATCTTATTAAAACAAACACTTATTTTGCTCAGAGAATCCAAAAATGCAATAATATATAGGGTGTTTCATTTAGAAAAACACAACTTTGATACTTTTGGGGCTTTTGGCACACTCTGTACATTACAAAAATATTTCTAAAATGTGCACCCGATAGGCATCAGTGGATTAATCAAATAATACTTTGCCAAAAACAAACGGGGTAGCCGCAAACGTCCCAGCCGTCTAGCGTGAATAACCCTGTACAAAACGCCCAAATACTGACCGTAATCACCGTCCGACAGTACGGGTAGGCGTTCCAGGCCTCCTCGTGGATTTCCAGGCTGCCTTTGGGGGCCAGCAGCCGAATGAACGCGGGCACCTTGCTGGCCAAGTGGTAAATCTTGTAGGTGTATTGGCCCGAGTTGTACTTGCCGCCCAGCAGCGGGTAGTTGTTGAAAGGCTCGTTCTTCAGCACCTCAATTCCCTCACCGCCGCCAGTGTTGTCCTTTGAGGCCTCGGCCACGCTGAAGAGCTGCGCCACTTGATACTGAAACAAAACACCATTCAGCGCTTAATGGCATATTTGCTCTTGAGACACACCCGATAAAAGCCATTTTCTCCGTGTCTGATTTTTGCCATTAATTAAAAATAGACCCAGGCAAACACATGTAGATGGAGGTGTTTGGTTTACTAAGGTGGGACGTTATGGGATAATTAAAGTAACTGAATGTGACCAGACGCGGTCAGTTGGAGCGAGTGATGGGCAGAGACACGTTCAATTAATTAATCAACGGCTTTGCGACGTGACGAGGATCAATTGCGATAAATTGCAATTAAGTCAGTCTGAAAATGCCCACGACATTAAAATCCAAATGTGTGGCATTGGGAAAACCTTCACCATTTGGACCAGGGGGGTTCGATCAATCCAATACGTGAAAAACCTGCTGTCCTCTCCCAAAAAGCTTTTGAAAAACGCCAATCACACAACAGCGACACCGAATTAAAACCTGGCAAAAACTAGCATGTACATTCAAGGTTTTGTTTCATGTTGCCCACAATTAACCTTTTAATTATACCCCAAAGCAACTGATAATAGCAGTAATTTCACAATTAGCCTGTGCTGGATCATGTACTCTATTAGCTTGGGCAAAGGTCCAATCAATTAAGCTGGGGGGGCGAACAGCCCCCCAAAAAGACAGGTTAAGAGCTACTGAAGATAAAAACAACGGCACTCACCTCTTCCACAGTAAGGGGCAGGGTGACACGGCTGAAAGTAAAACAACACATTAGTCAATGTTGGGGCTCCTGATGGTGGACAGCTGAATTGGCCGCCCGAATTCACTGAACAACGAAAGCCTGTCCTGCCATTCAACCTGCCTGGTTGTATTATGCAAATTATTGGCAAAGATAAGCGAAATCAGCGAAAATTGGCATGTTCTGACAGGACATTCCTGCAGGTTAAACTGGGGCTGTTTTCACTGAATTCAGTTGGCTGCACGTCACAAACCACCCGCAAAAGTTAACCTCACGGCTGTCTACTTACTATTCTTTAATTAACATCGCGCTTTAATTAATCTTTATCTATTTAACATATGAAATTGAATTGAAGACTGAAGTGGACTGAAGCGACAGTGAATCACTGGCGCTGCGATAAGGGGGCAACAGCGCACGCTCCGTGACGCAATCTCTCAAAGTTCGCTAGGCGTATTTGTCACTGATGTCCCGGAAAATCGATACTTTTCAAATTACACGCCAATTTGGCGAATTTCCTGCTGGTCAATGGAAAACCATTGCAATTATTGGCCAGGAAAAAACACATTTTTAAGAATTTAAGGCTAATTCGCCTGCAAAAACACACACATGGCAGCAGCGCTGCCAAAGTTTTGAACAAAAGCGACTGTTGCGTCCTTTTTTAACATCCAACATGTCTAAATCGTGCAATAGTGCGATAGAACGAGACGGATATACATGCGGTATGCCTACTTTTTAGATTAAATATTATTTAAATACTCTATAAAATTGCACGAAAAAGCGTACAAGCGTCTAGGTCACTTCTTGTCAATTCTATCGATTGCGGCGATTCGAACCTAGAGGTTTGTTATGATTTAGCACGATTTAAGGTTAGGTGATTTTTCCCGGTGTTTTGTTGTAACCGTAAACTCTTTGGATTTTATTAATATAGTGTTGGACGTTGACTGTGTTAACTTAATCAATATTGATAAAATGTGTTTTTTAACGTTACTCTATATATTATGTACACCAAATGGGGCGTTTTAATAATTAAAATGTATTATTGAGCAAATAGATAGTTGACTTAAGTTATTTTCCTATGTGCAATGTGCAAATTTAATTAAAACAAATTATCAACGACTTTTTAATTTTAATGTAACCGAAAAAATAAAATTACTATTGTAAGAATCAAGAAATATTAAGCAAAATAATTGCTGGTATCTTCTGTTCCATTTACTTTTTGTTTAACATCTCATACTAAGCAACACATGAAAATAATTGCCTTTTTACACTATTCCAACAAAAGTGGAGTACCAAGAACGTAGTTCGACTTTTTAGTAGGTAGTACTATGTGAATTAATTTTATTATATGAGGCGTATAAAATGCTAGGATTTGTAATCAGAAATTTTAAATATTTTAACATTAATACAACATTTCTTTATTACATTTTTAGTATTTAATGTCATAAGCACTCTTACTTGTTATTGCCACTTGGGTGATGTTTATTATAAGTGTTACCGATAAATAAATCTATGGAATGTAATTACTAACTTGAAAACTATCCATATAAATGTAACGATGTATGTAAGGATATTCAATATACTGTCAAATATACAATAAACCAAACTTTTTAGTAGATTTATTTAATGGTTTAAATTGCTTACTTAAATACTACGAATACAAAATCTAATACCTATTTAAGTTGATCAGAATAAATCATTTGTAAATTGTTATAAATTAGGAAATACTCATAATTATCACTGTCTTTCTCTGTGCTAATATAAAGGCAATGCTATTATTTTTGTTCCAACAAATTCAAACAATCCCTCTTAAAAAATTAAAAATTACTAGCCAAGAGCGTATAAAATTTACCTATGAATTTCTGTACGATACTATTTGTATGTCATTTTTATCTAGAGCTTATATAAGGTTCGAAATGCACGAGAGAATGAAAAAAAATGATTGGCGGACTCGCGGTTGTTTAACTCGACAAATTATAAAATAATTATCGTCAAACAATAAACAAAACCACCTAACCTTAAACCGTCTTAACTCATTTGTAGAAGTTGTCAACAATACGTTCGATAACAACAAACCGGTAGGCTTATTTGATTGGTTCGAATCGCCGCAATCGATAGAAGTGACAGGACGTGCCATATACCTAGACGGTTGTAAAAGCATTAGTATATTCAAGGAAAAAATGCAAAATCTTTTGTTGTTAAAACGTTAACCTGTTGCAAATTCATTCTATTGTTACGTAACAGATTCGCTCCGGGATTGGTGAAAACTCTCGCAATCAGGTCAATGGGCCATAGATCGGACCATTCTGCTGGCCAATCTGGGAACGCAATTTATCCCTACCAGATCTATTGCAGTTTATTGGCCAGACTTGGGACAGTATGGGCGGGACAGTAGTAAAGAAAACAGGCATGCAAATTTGCAAAAACACCAAAAATATTTGATGGCAACAGACTTTAAAAACTAAACAAAAACATTTTTCTGGATATGCCTGAAGTGTCAGGACAACTCAGTTAAGACCGAGTTTCTCAGTCCAATTCCAGTTTTTTAAAAGTTCCCTCGACGCCGAAGAAATCGCCGGCGTTTTTCGGTTTTCCCGGCCGCTTGCTCTCATCGACTGTCTGCGCTTCTTCGAAGGCAAACAGTTCCGCATGTTCCTCCAGTTGACGCCTACCGCGCTCTGAAAATCGCCCCAATCCTTAACCTATTGGAACATTTATTCACATCCTAAAACTATTAAGAATTCAGCTAATTTGTATTTGACATTTGGGAACGTGGCGTGCATCGGTTGTCTCACTCGCACACATGGAATTCGATGCGCGATTCTAAACGACCGAGTCACGCTACGTTCGAGCTTGACACCCTATGTGCTAACAATCCGCTAAGATAAATAAAACGTTTTGCCTTGTAAAATTGGGATTGATTCCGCCTCGCCCCCGTACTCTGCAGGCATGTCGCGCTTGGGCAGGAACTTGTAAAAAGACTCCATTGAGCCCACTGGATGCACGTAAATCTGAAAAATCCCACGTGGTTCAGAGCACGGCATAAATCAAGCTCATGTGAGCTTGATTTACACTCACCACGTCCAGAATTCCCTTCCTTAAGAAGGGCTTCATGAGCGCCAGCAGTTTATCCACCAAAGGCAGGGCGTTGATGAAATGAATCCCTTTGAGCCTGATGGGCATCGCGTCCTAAACACCGTTGAATTTAGCATAAAAATATGCGCTTATCATCGCTGTACCTGAATGTAGTAGAGGAACTTCTTCAGGACCAAAACATTAAGTCGGGCAATATGCCCGAAAACGCACCCCTCCATATCGAAGACCAGCAGCAGCCCATTTTGGGGCCCGAACTGGAAAAGCTGCTGCATCTCCACCATGTCGAAATAGCGAATCCCGTTGGGGAAAACAAACGATTCCGGATTGTGGTCCAAAAGCTTCAGCAGAAGCACCGTGTACTTCTCTGTGGTCAGCTTGCTCAAAGGCGCCGCTAACCTACAGAAGAGCACCCGCCAATCACCAATCAAATCAACGTATTTCCCACCTGGGCACTCACGTGCATTTCATGGCGCTCTGGACGCTCTGGCTCTGGGGATCGCGGTGGCCAAACAGATCAGGGCAAAGCGTTTTCACCGTGAAATAATTGTCGATGGTGGTTTTGGCCAGCTCGTTGCTGTAGTAGCAGCTTTGCAAAAACAGAATCACCTGCAGTTCTGCGACAGAAACAGCCAGGTTTTACAACCAGAATAGAGATCTGATTGAGCTGATGAGATTTACCGGAAATTTCGGGCAAGTGGGGCTGTTTAGCCGCCCACTCCTGCAGGGCCGCCACGTCGCCCCTTTTCAGTTTGCTGTCGTTTTCGTACAGTTTCACTGGATCTGCGCATTTCGGCATCCCCATTTTGTATGTGTTCTATTGGCTGGAAAAACACCTAGGGGGGTGACAAATACAGTGAACCAATAGTTTGCATGATATCTCATATGCGTACCTGAGATGCCTCGATGCAACACACACACACACAGATTGACTGTTGCAAATATTCAACAATCGCACGAAATTCCTTTAATGAATCGATGACTTTATAACAAAGTCGACTTATAATGCGTGCACTAAATTGCCGACAATTTTCTAATTTAATTCCAGTTAATTTTCATCTAAATGAATTACTGATCATTAGATGTTCGATAATGACGGTGGCAATTACAGTGATTAATCACACCCTCGTATATAGGTTTTTTTTTGGTGAGTAAAGTTCGCTTTTAAACATGCAATTTTCGGCAAGTGACGCAAGGTTTTAGACCCATTTAGACGAATCTACTGAAACTGACCCCACTAATAAGCAGTTTATTGGACAGTGGCAATGGGTTATTTCCTTACACGAAAACTCTCATACTTGGGGACGGAAATCAGTATAACTGAAAAAAAAACCACACAAATCTAAAACTTCTTGAATTCAAGCATTTTTTGAGAAAACTGCCAACATTGCCCCATCCATGGTTCACTTTCTAAAAAGGCCATTTATTTCTGTCTAGAATGATGTACAAATGAGCGTTCTTGCTCATTTTGCCTCCAAGATATGAGCAAAAACG